GGACTTGAGTGGTCACCAAGCAGATCTGTGTCCGCCCCATGTCTTCTGCCTCTTCAGACAGTTGTTTTCTCAGCTCTGCTTAGAAAACAGCCCCCAAGCCCCAAAAGAAAGGAGATGAAGCCTTACCCCTAGCCTGGGGATGCTTGGGCACAGCAGTCCCCATAGGGTCAAGAAAAGCCCCTCACTGGTGGGGACCGAGCCCTCAAGGCCAGCCTGGCCCACCATACAGGCCCAGCCAAGTGTGTTGCTCAGCGAGGTGCTTCCCTAGTGGTTTTTTTTTGTTGTTGTTATTGTTGTTTTGCAGAACCGGGGATTGAACTCAGGCTCTTGTACTTGCCAGGAAAGTGCTTATTCCACTGAGCCATCATGCCAGCCCGTTTTTTGTATTTTTAGGGAAGGGTCTACAGGGTGTTCAGGGTCTCACTACTAGATTGGACTTGTAGTGATCCGCCTGTTTACAGCCTCCAAGCAGCTGGGATTACAGGCACACAACACCAGGCCCAGTCTCAATTGCCATTTTAGCATGTGGGCAGGGAAGCGGGGAGGTGGCGCACAGCAGGGGAACCCCCAGCCCCTGTGCTTGCTTGCAGGCAGTTTAATCCACTACGCTATTTGGCCTTGGCTGGCTCTTTTCCCTAGGGTTTTTTTTTTGTTTTTTTGTTTTTTGTTTTTTTTTTTTTTTTTTTTTGGCAGAACCAGGGATTGAACTCAGGCCCTTACGCTTGCCAGGGAAGCGCTTATTCCACTGAGCCATCTCCCCGGCCCCTTCCCTAGGGTTTTAAGGTGGCCAGTGCTGCTGGGTGATGGGGTGGGGGTGGGATGGTGCCAGGAGGTGGGCACTCAGGCCAAGCAGCCTGGGAGTCCTCATGTGTAGAGGAGCATTAAGTGGGGCTCCAAAGGCTGGGAATGTCCTTCCTGGAGCACTCCAGTCTCCAGCACTCCTGGGACCAGACTGGAGCCCAACACTCACTATTCCTCCTCAAGGATCTTCCTCTCCAAGCCTGGCTCAGTGCCCTCAGGCCTCTCTAGGCTAGACAGCTCTCTGCTTGGCAGAGTGCAAAGAAGACCAAGGGGATGACTCAGAGTTGGGCTGGACAGGGAGCCCTGGTGACCACTGGACACTCCCAGGCACTATTCCAGAGGCTACAATCCCTTGGAGAGACCCCACTTCAACAGATGCTTGGGTTGTCACAGTATGCCCCCTGTCTGGTTTTCCTACCAGAAGAATTTAGCTTGGACTCTAACCATGAAGAAGCAGTTAGCCAATACACATCAGAAAATAGTCTGTGAAGTCCCTGCCCAGGACTCTCCAAAGAGTCAGTGTTAAACTGGGTGTAGCAGCACCTACCTATAATCCCAGCATTTGGGAGGCTGAGGAAGGAGGATCAACACAAATTAAAAGGGGCCAGGGAGGTGGCTCAGTGGAATAAGCGCTTCCCTGGCAAGCACAAGGGCCTGAGTTCAATCCCCAGTTTGCAAAAAAAGAAGAAGTTAAAGGCCAGCCTGGGCTATGTAAAGAAATCCTGTCTCAAAATACATTTTTAATAGGGATGTACCTCAGTGACACAGTGCCTGCCTAGCAAACACAAAGCCTTGAGTTCAATTCTTGGTAAAAAAAAAAAAAAAAAGAGCTAAGGAGGGCTGGTCAAATAGCTCAGTGGATTAAAGGACTTGCAAGCAGGCACAGGGACCTGGGTTCAATCCCCCGGCCTGCAGTGACAGCCCACCTAGGGGGTACACTAAGAAATACCATGCCCAGTCAAAAAAAAAAAAAAAAAAAGACAAAAAACAAAAGAGCTGGGGAATGAATCTCCAGGACAAGAAAAAACAACAAAACAAAAAGGCAAATCATTGTCATGAAATATGAGGAAAGTAGGGATGATTGCAGAATAAAGGACAGATGAGAGTCACAGCAGCCATGAGCAACCCACAATCCTGACCCCATCTCCAACTTGGTGGAAAAAAAAACCTTAAAAATCATTGAGGTCAGGGGCCGGGGAGATGGCTCAGTAGGATAAGCGCTTGACTGGCAAACGCAAAGATCTGAGTTCAATCCCCGGTTCCACAAAAAAAAAAAAAAAAAAAAAAAAAAATCATTGAAGTTTATTTTGGGGACTGTAGACCACACCAGGTGACCAGTCTCAAGCTTTCTGCAGTGTGACTGTTGTGCTGCAGTCCCCTAGGGCAAAGGTCTTCCTCTGAGGAAATACCTATGGAAATATCTAGAGCCCAACTACCATATTTGCATAATTAATTCATTAGCAGGAGAATAAAGACAGGACAAAATATTAACAATTTCTAGGCTGGGGATGTAGCTAAGTGGTAAAGCACTTATCTAGTATATATAAGACCTTTGCTTTCATCTCTAGTACTTAAAAAAAAATTCTTTTTTTTTTTTTTGGTACTGGGGATTGAACTCAGGACCCTTAAAAAAAAATTATTGTGTGTAGGTGCCTTAATTACTTTTCTCATTGCTGAGGCAATAGCCAACACTCAAAATTACAAGAAGAAAGGTTTATTTAGGTCATAGTTTGTAGACTTTTCAGTCCATATTTGGCTGGCTGTGAGGCAGGGTAGCTTCACAGAGAAGAGCAATTCATGGCAGCAGAAGACAGCAAAAGCAACAAGGGAGAGGGAACATCCTCTATCTGCCCTTTATATTGTATCCAGTCTACTGGGATTAGAGCAGTGCCAATCCAATCAGTGGACTGATCCAACAACCACTCAACCTTAATCTCAGCATTGCACCACCAACACACAGAGAAAGACAGAGAGAGGATACAGAACTTCACCAAACAAAACAATAGGAATTCAACAACAAATTATTTGTGTGTGTGTGTTTTGTTTTGTTTTATTTTGAGACACAGTCTCACTATGCAGCTCAGGCTGACCTTGAGCTCACTTTGTAGCCCAGGCTGATATCAAACTCACAGCAATCCTCCTGCCTCAGCCTCCTGAGTGGTGGGATTACAGGCATATGGCACCACACTCAAACAAGAGTTGATTATATTGGGGCTGGGGAGATAGCTCAGCAGAATAAGCACTTGCCTGGAAAGTACAAGGGTCTGAGTTCAATTCCCAGTTCTGCCAAA